GTTGTGATAATAAGTAAAAAATAAACATGGAAATTAAAAAAAAAAAAGAAGAAAGATATTATGATATAGTAATAATGGTAAAAGCACTGCAATATAACTAACCAAATTGTGATTTTTTTTTCCTTTTTTATACAGAAAAATAAGATATTTTACTAAACATTAGCTAAACGTATGTTTTTAATTCTGCTTGGAAAAAAAACCAAAAGTTTAACTTTTGAAGTAAATGTAAAACTTACAATCAATAGCACTGAGAGGATCGCTAGCCTTTTGTTGTTTTTCTTTCTCGGCTTTCCTTTGTAAATAGTTATCTGCGGTAAGGTTCTTTCCTTCCGCTACAAGAAATTCAGAATACATTAAATTAATAACTAGGAAAAAACTGCATAAATCTCGGCAATCTGATCACTAAAATGATGCAATTCGCTAGTCTGGTGCAAATTAGATGAGAAGTATAAATCTTTTAACGCGGTCCCATACAACTACCAATTTTCCTACGACGAAAATATGCTGAAAAGCGAAAAAAAAAAAAAAACATGAATAAAGGAAGAAAGAAATTAGGGAAGATGTCCCAATTATTCACCAAATATTTGGCTGAAAACAGGATAAAACAAATAAAATAGTTCAATTGTTAACTATTTTACAATGAACTGTCATTATCATATTATCTGATCAAATACTGATTACCAGTTTGTTGATAACAGGAATCTATCGCTCGAGTAAGAAGCCAATCGACTACTTCATGCACTTTGTCATAAGAAAGTGGACACTTCAAATCGGTCAAATACTGTAATGAGCAAAATGATGAAGCTATAAGTGATTAAGGAAATTATTTTAAACCTTCCAAATGGAGTCGCGAATAAGACTTCAATTTTGATTTGGCATCTGATTTAATTTATTTAACAGCATTTGCTTTGGTGAACGTTCTATCAATGCAACATAGCAAAGTTTGACTAAAAATGTTGACACAGAACGAAATTTTATGCTACACTTCATCTTTACAACTCAGAATTTAACAAAAAAAAAAAAAAAAAGTAAAAATAAAAATAAGGAAACGAATTTGACATTTACATGTTAGCATTAGCAATTAAAGAATTGCTAACAGCAATAATCACTTTGTTATAAATATTTATTCTATCCATATTCAATATACAAAAAAAAGAAAAAAAGCGATTAGATTTTAATCCAATGCTTTAATTCATAAATAATTTAAACCTAAAAAACGGAATACCTTTGAGTAAGATTTATTCCATACTTCAACATCTGATGACTGTAACCCATCTCTATCCTCAATTTTATATAGCCTGATATGTTGATGTTCCAGAAATAACACTAATTCTTGTAATTGCTCAAAATCTGCAAAATACCAAAGAATCCTGCTAAATATTGTCGGAAAATGTTCGCAATACTCTACGAAAAAAAAGAAAGAAATTACTTTCATAGTCGACCGTACTTGCAGGATATCCAAGTAGAAGCAATTTCTTCTGCGACATAATGAATTATCCTGGAAAGAGAATCGAGATAAAATATTAAAAGAGAATGAGTTACTGACTTTGGAAGAAGAGAAGTAGGAAACAAATAAAATTAAATTTGAAATAATCTTCTCATCCTGTGCAATGTATAGTATTATGTTAAGAGAACAGCATTATAATAAGCAGAACACAAAGAATGAGGAATATTTATTCAATAAATTTACAATCCAGAAGTACCAACCTTAATGCTTGAAAAACCATTTAACTTTTTAGGACAAAATGATTTCTCATTGAATTTTCTTATCGAGATAGAAGGAAATGAAGAAATATAATTAAAGACAAAACATATGAAGCGTATGAAATCTAAAATTTAAAATATATCACTAAACACCAATATAAAAATGATATTACCAATATAAGACATTATCATGATATCACCAATATAAAAATTCTTACTACCATAAAGTAGAGTATTCTGTTTCTTCAAATTTATCAATTACAAAACCAAACTGTCGAAAAAATATTTACGAGCATATTTTATGTAGACTGAAAACGAAATGCAAATTTTTACATTACGGTAAATACACAAAGTCAAATCTTTAAATACTATTTTCTCTATTATTGCTAAATTTATATCTATTTACCATTATTACATGAAAAATTGTTTTGGCTCAGGAATAAGATTCGATTTACAGCAAATCAGTAATCTCAAACAATATTTCCCAACTGCCTAATAACAGATTGGATTGATCAACAGGATTTGCCTTATAGTAAACAAGATTGTTTCATTTAAAGAAATGTCGAAAAGTATGTATAGAAAAGTATAAAAAATTAATTTGCTTCGATAAGATTATTGACAAGTTTCTCGTTATAATTCCAATAATCTTTTCGTATTGGATCCAGCTCTTTCAATTGTTGGAGTACTTGCAATGCTTGTGCAGCACTCTCCTGAAATTACAAAAACGTTTATTTTCAAACTCACTCAAGACGTTTATCAATGATTTGTACCACGATTCGGATGTTATGTCTCTTCCGGAATGTTCAAAACCAAGTGAAAATTTACTTTAACTTCCATTTTCTTCTCAATCCTTTCTATCAATATATCCACCATGAAACTAAGACAAAGTGGCACACGTTTCTGTTCGCTTAGTTCAAGGCAAAATTGCATTATATCCGCTCGAGAAGAAACTCCTTTCTGAAATATTGAATTTAGGATGGCTAAATGTAACATTTCAAAGTTTTTTTTTAAAAACATATCAGACATACTTCTGTTTTTACTAGTAACCACTAACACTTATATTTTGGAAAATCAGTCAGATTAAGCTCATAATGATAAATATTAATCGAAAGTGCTACTTTATTATTATTTAATTTATTAAAAAATTTCATAAAAAAGATTGGGCCAATTAAAAAAAAGAAACGCACATCAAGTAATATTCCAGACAAGAAATTCCATGCGCTCTCATTATTTGGAATTTTTCTGATCATAGACTGAGTCATTAAAATTTCTCGATTTAAAACGGTGGGATCCTTAAAAACAAGAGAAAAGATTACAACAACATTCAACTGAAGTGAACCATTTGCGACGTAAAATCCATCAATAAATCAGAAGATGGTTGAAAATTCTACACAAAGATTCTAACTTTGAAAACACCTTTAATGTATCCAATCCTTGAAGTATAAAATACCGGTAGTTCCAGGCCGAATTATTACGCATGTCTTCGATCAAAAGTCCTGCGCTATAATCCAATTCTTGCTGACTGAATAATTTGAATTTTTCAACGACCCATTGACGATGCTGCCATGAATGGTAGTTTTTGGCTTCATCTTCAATCATTCGCGCTGTGAAATCAAGCTCTCGACTGGCATCATTTGTCCATTCCACTAGTGTTCGACGATGATGCCAGACTTAACAGTATCAATTATCCATAAACAGAAACATTATGAAGTCAAAAATCATAACAACATTAGTAAAAGTATTACATTTTATATTAAATTAAAATGAAACAATATAAGTGTTCGAGAGCAACACTAACCCTGATAATTCTTAGGATTTTCTTCAATCACTTCAGCAATGAAGTTGAATTCCTCATTCAGATCTTTATTCAGTGCTTTCAGAAGAGAACGACGATATTGCCAGAGAGTATAATTAGCAGGGTTCAAATCAATACATCTGCAAAATTATTTGAAGTAAATTTCAACAAATCCATTGCCAAAATTTCAATATTTTAAATATGGACTTGTTATTCAAATAAATTTTCTACTTCTGTATGAGGGCTTCTGAGTAGTCCAAGAGAAGTTTCTCAGCGTCTTAAGAGATTAATTCTACTGTAATGATATGTAAAAGATAAAAAGCTGCAACTTAGTGCTTGTTTTCCAGTATATGAAGAACAACACAAAAATCTCTACGATACGAAGCAATAAATAACTATAACTTACTGCATGCAACAATAAATTAAACTCACTTAACAGTTAATTTAAATGCGCGTTCTGACATTTCATTACTGAGTACAACAGCTCGTAGATACATAAATGCATCATTAAAAGCATCACTAGTTTCAATCCGAACAGCTGCTTGTTCATCATCTGTGAGTGGTATAGGGTGAACATCATCCCATTCTGGATCATCCCGATATCGCTGAAATTCGGGACCATTTTTTACTGCTTAATGAAGAAATTGTGAAAAAGTTAATCTTAGTTGAAACTTTAATTTATAAATGTTATCACCTCAGCCTGATAGCACTCATTATTCTAATAAAGAATTTCGAAGTTAAATTTTGTGACCAAGTAATATCAGTCATCTGAACACACAAAACTCTACCATAAAACAGAATGTAAATTTCGAAAACCTTAAGTGTATCATCAGTTACACACCCATTTTTATACTAGAGTAAACTTCTACATACCTCAAGTTTGTCCATAATTCCAGAATTATAACATTGGTTCAGCTGCAACTTCTTGAATGAAAAAAATCAAGTGAAACAAATGACATAATTCAAAGTTAGAATTAGTCATAACATTTTTAGTTTCAAAATTTGACTAATGAAATGACAACGATTGAAACGTACTTTACTAAGCAGAAATTGCAATATATTTTATCAACGTAGATAATTTGTAAGCATTAAAAAAACATTCATGAAACAACATGATACAGAAGAATTCTCCCTGGAACCATTGTCAACTATAATAAAGTTCATTTTTCTAAAATTGATTTTAATTCGTTAAAGGTTAATTTTAATTCTAAACTTTTATGTGTGAAACCGAAGCATGTTTAGTAATGAAAAGTTCGAATAAATAAACTGCAAATTTCAACACTAATACATGTGTAATTTAAACATACTTTAAAATCTGCTAGAAAGTGTACTGAAAATCCAAAAAAGTGCCGCTACAAACAGTTGCTGGTCATCATATAAACCATACAAAAATAACAGTTACTAAGTACAATAATAACATTAACGTCACTATTTAATGTTTGTTGGTTAACAATGCATCGTGAAAGACAAGAATACTTACCACAAATAACAATTATTAATATCATGACATAATATCACTATTACTGCAGCCGTCAGCAAAGACTTTTAGCATTTTTGTACGAATTTTTTCTTGCTTCAATTCCAAAGCATCACATGTAGGCCGCTTTTTAATAGGTACATATGTTTTGGTAGAAGTTCCATTCGGCCTGAGATAGTCATTTAAACCGCTATAGTCATTTTGTAACACTGGTGCAAGTAAACCGATGCTTTCAGCCATAATTTGTAATGTCGCTGACCTGAAATTATTCCAGCCACTTCTATAGCTTTTGATTTTCCGCCCAAATGTATGTCATTTTTCTTCAACTTTGGAAATAAAAGAAAATCAATCATTGATCTGAAGCGATTTATATCGTTCTTGCACAGTTATTGTTATAATAAATAGCAGCACTATGAACTGCTTGCAGGTGTCAAATACAACAAGCACTGTGCAAGGAAAGATTTATAATGTTTCTTACAGTACTTATCAAAGCTAATGAAGTATTGGAAATAAAACAAATAATTGTGATGAAAACCTACAGAGACTGGTAATGAGCCCAGGTTTTCAGGACAAATTTTCTGACAGATTTCAGTGAATTAATATCCCATCTCCAAGGAAGCTCCGTCCCTTCATATGAGCAATCAAATAAACATAACGGAAATGCCGGAGCTAATCCATAAATTGGTTTTGACGGTATAAGTCTGATATCGAGAAGTTCAGTGATAATCTGCAAACAGAGTTGAGAAAATAACACTATTGCATAACTGTTCAACTTTTGTATTTAACTACCGTTTACATCCGGTCATTTTTAAAGCCAACAGCACAAAACAAGATTTTTATAAATGATTACTGATTAAAACTCACTGTTCCTTTTTTACTGCTTTCAAAATATTATTAAACCAAGACTTACATCTGGTTTCTCATTACCGAGGCCAATTTCACAAAGCAAAGCCATTATACAGCGAATCTGATGCCAAAGAAAACCTTTTCCCTTGATAGTAAGTTGTAGGAATTCATAATGAGCAGCTTTATCGTTTAGCCTCATCGATGATGACATTGAATTATTTCTTAAAAAAGAATTCTTACTTCTAAATTTGTTGTTCTTAATGCAAAAATCAAAAACCAGAAAAATAAAATGAACTCTGAATATGTCTTATGTTTGCACACTAATCTTTAAATAGTTCCTTTCTTATTCCAAAGACCATTAAAACCATACGATATGAATGATATATCAGCATAGGTGATGGTGCGAATATAATTCATTTCCACTCGTTTCTTGTTCATATCGATGCGACAGAAATTACGAAAATCGTGTTCGCCAACAAGAAATTGACAAGCTTGCCGCATTGCCTACAAACTATAAATAAGAAAAAACCTAAGTCTCACTAAAAATTTCAGGAATATATATCTTAAAATTTTACAAATTGTTTTAAAAAATAGAAGTAACTGAGTCAAGGAAAAATCACAAAGATTTTAATTCGAAAAACTGACCTAATTAAATGAATCATTATATGAATCAAAAATGATATTGCTCGAAAGTTTTTTAAAAAATAACCTCAATATTAAAATTGGTTCTTGGAAAAGCATACGTGTAAGTACGCTGGGTGCAATTATATCTGGCACTGAAATTTCGAGGAACTGGAGCCCAAGCTAACACCCGAATATTAGTTGGTAATGTACTATTTAACATTTTTACGTACTGAAGTTCTCCTTTCATAGCAGTTCCAGAAGATGCATGGGCGACATTAGGCCAGAAAACACCTTCGCCTTCCGGTTCATTGGACCTTAAATTTTGAGACTAAACAGGCAAATTAATGTATGACAAATCATTATATCTTTATTCTGAACTAAGACAAGATCGGAAAAAAAACTTGTTACTGAAATAAGGGATCAAAAAATTTGGAGGCTGAACTCTGCTATTAAAAAATTAACAGAAACAAACCTTACAATGAGAGAAGCAACCTGTTTAAAAGCAGATACTCCCTTATCAGTCCGACCACTTCGATTCCAACTGCAGTTTTCCCAACTTTCGACGAGTTTTGTCTTTATCAAAGCCTTCCTCATTTCTTCCTCAACCTGTAAACTTTGAATTAAATATTTCTAAACTTTCTCACACATTATTATGACATTTTCTGCAAATCGAAAATAGACACAATTCCATCTGGAAGGTTTGATTTGTCTATTTTAATATTAAGTAAATATATAATAACAGGGTTAATTATGCGCCACTAAGAACAAACACTAAAAAGTGAGAATTAAAAAAATTGAAAGCACATAAAGTCTTCCGGATCTACTTTACTAACTAACGATACCCCACAGAAGATTAAAAAATAACAAGATTAAAATAATCAAGCGACGACTGGTCTAACAGCACCGCAAACGTAATCATTTTTTCAATAATGACTTATGATATATCAGATCAATCCAGTATTATACTTTCGAACTTCATGAACTGTCATTATAAATTGACAGAAATAGCAATTCAGTGGTTATTTGATCAAATTCACATAATGCAGCATAAGTAAATGTCTTCAGCAAAAGAAATACAACTTACAGTTCTACCAATTTCTCGCTGTTCAACCAGTCCATTATATTCCCAACCAAAGTACATAAACATTAGAGCAATCCGTCGTTTTGGATGCTGCGAAAAATCAAATTCACGTTTTTTCTTCACTTTTTTATTGTTCGATAAAGAACCAATGTTTGTTGCTTCATCCATATCGTTAGCTGCAATCTAAAAGTATGAAAGTGCTAGTTAACTACTGGGAAGAGATAACAGAATAGTTCATTTCAATTTTTTAGCTGAAGATTTAAATGCTCGTCTTTCTGCTCTCCTCATTATTCACCCACTTGATTCTTTTATTAAATTTTTAAAATAATTTGTGATATATCAGATCAATCTAATAATATACTTTCGAGCAATTCAATGGTTACTTGATCAAATTCACATAATATAGCATAAGTAAAATATATTTGGATGTCTGAATAATAAATCTCTAGGGCCTTACAGTTTAAAATTTGATATTAATTGGAATGTTTCTACTTATTAAATCTAAAATAAAAAACAGATTAAATTAATAAAGCCATTTATTTCTACAATCTATGAAAGCGCAGTACATTTACACATTGTTATGAAAACTTTAAGATATATTTTTAAAGAAAAATAAATAATAATGGCAAAGAAAATGGATAAGAAGAAATAGCACGTGAAATTAAGATGAAATAAAGATTGATGAGATTTTACAAGAAAGTGAATGAATAAATGATAACAAATGGTTACGAGAGAAAAACAGACTTACAACAAAACTAAATGTACATGCATAGACAATACCTTTGTATTGGTTTGAATTGAATATACAAACCAAGTGGTTTGATTGGTGGTTCATTGTCTATGAGAAGGTTAAAGGAATTAAAATAAAGTAATTAAAGAAGTAATAACAAGTATAATTGAGTAAGTAATGCTAGTGCTTATGTGTATAAAAGTTAATAAGTAAATGTATTATATAAATTATTAGCAAAACTTTGAAATTTTTAACTTTTGAATTGCTTTTTTCTTGTACATTATTTTGTTATAAATTTTGCAGAGCCAAAGAAAACAACAATAATTTCATTTTTTTTTTTCTTTCAAAAGATTTATCAACCATTACCTTATTTTTGTCAAATTTAACCTTAGGAAGTATTTCAACACTGTACCAGCAGTTAATATACAAATAACGTTCCTTCAATTTTAACTAAATTATTTCATATAATTTTTATTTACAAGTTAGTTTGTTTATTGTTTACATGCAGCATAAGCAAAAAATATACATTAAAACATTGGGGAACTTTTTATCAGTTTAGGAATTAAACTGCAAAAAATGAAATGAGTACATGCTAGTTTAGAACTAACAGCTATATTCAGAATTAACTATCAAAACTTTCTCTTCTTCAACTATGATGTTATGTTAATTTCCGTATTATTTAAAAGTTCGAAATGGATTATATGGCTTTTAAGCGAATTTTCGCAACTGTACTTTTCAATCTTTTTTCGGATTTTTTGGCAAATGAGTTTTTGATAAAGATTTCATGATAAGTTTGAATTAAGTTTTTTAGTTTAATCTGAATTAAGCTTTGATAAATAGAAAAAAAAATAAAAAAAGTCAATCACCGTGATCAAGGTAATTGGAAAAGTATTTATTTCAAGATAAATAGTCGAGACATTGTCAAACATCGATGAAACATAAATTTGTTGCTTTTATAAATTTAAAAGCAATGCTAGTTACTGGTCACTAATCATTTTAGCGAACATTTTTCATGATTTTATGAAGTAATTGCTGCGATATCATACAAAAATTCCATGAAAAAAGGTAGAAAAAGAGTTTACAACTAGAAAATCAAATTCTAAAATCAAAAAGAAATGAATAATTACAGGAAAAAGAGTATTTATCATTCCATTAATGAAAATACAAAATGGACTTTCAGATACAATCAAAATTGTTTCTAATATTTCTATTATTATTATTATTTCTTCCCAATAAATCGAACAGGACTAAATCTTCATTTCAATAATTTTCTAATTTTCTCCTCATTTTAATCATATTTCACCTCTTTTACTTACTTACTAAATTGAATTTCATAAAACCAAAGATCATCATGCTAAAAACACTTCAAATATTTTGCTAATTGATTAAAATCATTGAGCAGCGCACTTTTCATCTGCGAATGGAATGAATCTATCCAAGATGTAAACATTTCAATGAATTCACGATATTCTGAGAAAGAATTTATTTTTGGAAATAGAACATAATGCTAAATTGGAATTTGGGAGCATTGGCGGAATAGCAGTTCAACAGTGATAATTTTAAATTTAAATGATAAGAAATTTCCTCTTTTGTTTTCTTTACTATTTATTCTCGATTATATACTACTACCTTATTCAATTATGGCTTATGATTTAGCCAATTATTTTTATTGGCTATTTTATGGTATTTCATGAAATTTGAATTGATTCAATGAACTATCATAAAAAAATACTGCTATTATTTCAAGATTTGTAAGAATTCAATACTTGAATAGTGTTGATTTGTAATTTAATATCACCTAGCAACGATAATAATTGCAGTAGATTTTTAAGGAGACACAGGCGGAAGGTGAAATTGTCGAAGTGTCAGTGGAATGTCATATTTTGGATTAGTAAATTCATATTGAGAATGAAATTATTAGCAAAGGAAGATTTAGATGATTAATATTGATAATGTAGAATTTGAGGAAATGGATGAAAAAATAATAAATTTTCGGATAATTTTTGATAATATTTTGCAGTAACAGAACATATTCCGGAAACGGTCAATTTGTTTGTCATTGAACCGACTCTCTTGCAAAGCATTTTCGAATAAAACTAATTAATCGGAAAATCTCTGTGCAACGAAGTTTAACATGCAATTGATCGAACATTGATCGACAGGTATTAAAATATTCATTAATATTTGTTTTATATTAGCTAATCAATCTATTGCAAATTAATTGATTTCCAATATTCTATTATTAGTTAATATCTGAAATTCTAAAAATATTCATTAATATTTGTTTCATATTAACTAATCAATTTATTGCAAATTAATTAATTTCTAATATTTTACGATTAATTTAATTAATTAAAATTTTAAGTTTCTACTTGCAACGTTAAATTCAACATAAAAATGCTTCCCATTTATTCTGTCATATAAAATGTGATAATTTGAAATAAAAATTGGAAATGAAATACTTTTAGTTGTACTTCTTAATCATAGCCAATTAGTACCACTCATATTTATATCATTTTAAATTGCCTTCAATAATCACTGATTAACACAAATATCAATCTGTTCACGTTGGATTATTTATTACACAACGCAAATTTCTTTTCTTCACTGACTTATAATCTTCTGACCATCTGATTGATTGATCGGTTGATTGATTGATCTATTGATCGGTTGATTAATTGATTGATTAATTAGTGATTAAGAATGGATATTCTGGTTTTATCATATCTAAATATGTGAAGCGTACATGGAAAGACCAAATAATTTGTTTTTTAAATTTTGTTATTTACATTATAATCCATCTGTCATCTTTTTTTATAAAACGGATACTAATGAACATTCTTACCTGTCGCTGTTTAATTTTTCTTTTTTATTATTATTAATCAGTTTTTGTCGAGAACATTCTGGAAGAGACTGTTCCAATGATTAATAAATTAAAAGTTTCCAGAATTACTTCTGCTATTACAATGTATTATCCATGTTTAATCACCTAAAAGTACATTTATTTTTCATCATTTTCTTTAAATTAATTTATCAACAAACTAACATTCATTTCTAAAGCTAATTTATAAATCCAAACTATGACATTTCGTTGACGCTTCCATAACTTTGCTTCTCGAAAAAAAAAAAATCAAATTCCCATAGCGAATACTAATTAGAAAAAAGAAAAACCATACCTAAAGAGATAAGATTAATTAATTAACTAATTAATCAATTCTTTGTAATGAAAGGAAATCATTGCTATCATTTTATAGCTAATCAATGAAATGAGTTAAACAAGTAATATCTTATCTTCATGGTTGTGCTATAAGTACTGCTTTAATAATGGATATTGACAAAGACTCTAAATTCAATTAAAATATCAAAGGATTTCTTTAAGATATATTCTGGGAACTATAATTTATCTTTAGCTCAAGTCTAACTGATATAAACAAAAAGCTTTTTTTACGTAAAAACTTTGCTTTTACTATAAATTACTTCATTTTAAAAAATAATTGATAAATTAGCCTATTTAATTCTGTCTTGGCTCTTTTCACTACACATATTAAAAACATAAGATTGCTCCTAAATTCATTGTTTCTAATTATTTTCAGGACAGATATTCCTAAAAAATATCTGTCCTGAAATTCATCCAAACAATTAAACTTTTGAAATTGCATTTCCTTTTCTACTCTCTCACTAATTCTTTTTTCATCAAAAGCTTACGAATTAGTTGCTTTCATTATTGAACGCAAATGATTTTGTTCAAAATGGCTTCCACTTTCTTCAAATTCATTTGTTTTCAAAACTTTTTGCTTATGAAAATTCTTTTCAAAATAGGAATCGATGAGAGTATCAGTAATAGCAACTGAGTTTCTCTTCGAGAATCTCGAGAACTCGGCAAAATTCATCTAATTCGATTTTACAAATAGAATCCAGCAAAATGTCATAAACACTAGTATCAGTAATTGAGTTACCATCATTAGACCGTAGCTCTGAGAATTTATATGATTCACCAGTTTATTAAATTCAATCTATCAAGATTAATTAATTAATTAACTAATTAATCAATTCTTTGTAATGAATTCAATCTATCAATTTTAAACATTCCAGCTTGATTATTAGTCAGAGTTAGTTGCTAATATTATCGTTGCTAACGTTTCTGTTATCATTCTTTTATCAAATGATTATCATTTTAGATATATCCATTGATTATATCATTATTTGCTTTGTTGTAACGAGATTTAAATGGATTTGAATTCTTTTTTTTTTCAGTGAAATGAACACATAATTAAATACATATATATATTATTGGTCGTCTACTTAATTAAAGTAATTAATTAGTTTCATAACTATTTGAAAAAAGATTTATTAATTATGGAAATGCTTCTTCGATTTAATATTATTGCAAAGCATTGAATTTGAAATCGATGCGAACTCATTCTCAAAAGGTATGTAA